TGGTGAAAAAAGCTCAAAATCATTAAGAAGAAAAAAAAAAAAAAAGAACCAGGTTTGCTGGTCTGATAGAGCCTGATGGAACCATTGAGACTATGGCCCCTAGCTACCCTTCAGGTCTGGAATTGAACCCACACCTGTGGCTTCCAGCCAAACAAGAGATAAGCATATGAGCTGAATATTTACCTGAGTTAGATACACTCCTTGGAGAGAACAATCTTGGGAGAAAGAATGGCTGTTTATGCACAAGGAGATAGCTCAGGGGGCAGGAGTGCATGTAGGGATGGACACAGGGAAGAGGTAACTATCGGGAGGAAGTGGAGCTGTTGCATTGAGTTATGTGGTTGTCAGTGTCATGAGACAAAGTATGTAAACTACTGTATGGAAAGTGAATTTGCTCTGTAAATTATCTCCCAAATCACAATTTAAAAAAAAAAAAAGGGTGCAGTAGACAGGCATACTAGTTGAGCATTTACCTGAGGTAGATACACTCCTTGGACAGAACAAGCAAGAGAGAAAGAAGGGCTGCTCAGGCACAGGGAGACAGCTCAGGGGGTAGGAGTGCATGGAGGGATGGACACAGGGAAGAGGTAGCAATCGGGAGGAAGTGGGGGAGGAGATGTTGCATTGTGCTAAATTGTGGTCAATCTTATGGGACAAAGTGTATGTGATCTGCTGTATGGAATGTGTATTTGCTCTGTAAATTTTCACCCAAATCACAATTAAAAAAAAAAAAGGCAGGGGGTAAAAGTTTGCATCTTAATTAACCTAGAGTTTCACAGTGAAAATTCATGAGTTTGTTCTTAAATTACATGCTATTGAAAGCTAGTTTACAAAGTCTGTGAAAGACTGGTAGCTGACTGAGGCAGTCAGAACACTGTAACTGAGCAATAGCTGTGTAAGAAAAACTAAGATGGAAGAGTGGCACAACCGTTTTACTGCTCCCTTCCCCCTGGGTTGCTGTTTCTCCCAGACTTGAGTGTCTTCTCTTGCTCAGGCTTACCCTTACCCCTCTCATCTATGTTAGATTCCACTCATGCCTTCAAGTTCCTGAAGCACCTCATGCTTGACTTTATCATGCTGTATTGTTAGTAATGAAAACCCTCCCCTCTGCTTTAGGTTCCTGAGCACAGGACTACCTTTTGCATCTTCATATTCCAGTGTCTGGCACATGTAGTGGGTGTTGGGTAAATGGTAATGGTGCTGTTTGAGTTCTGAAAGCTTTCATCACTAAATATCCCTGTTGTTCAAGAAAACCACTAATTCTTGTCCCTACCTTGGTGAAGTCTTATTTTACTTAGCATAGTCTGCATCGGAAGTCTTTGTGGTCTAAGAGGAACTCAGTTTTAACTCCTAAATGCCCTTCATGTCTATGTGACTTAGGTATGACACTGAATTAATTGTTTTAGGATTTGGTATTGAGTCCTTTAAAAGCGCAACTTGACGGCAATAGGCTTGGTTTTGGTTTGGTGGCTTAGATAGAGAGTAATGAAAAACGAGTACACTGGGGAGCAAGCTGGAGGCCGCTGTACTGATTAGCCCTAGGACCTTTGCTGACTGACAATTTGTATCCTTGACAGTCCTTGAAGATTATGTATATGATGTGCCAGAGAGAAAACAAATGCTAAAGCAACTTGCAATCTCAGATATGAAATTGTGTTCAGTATAATTTGTATTAATAATATTTCCTATATTCTCATTATTGGAAAACTTGTTTCTCATGTAGTATGTGATCGTTGGGCTATAACATTAGATTAATTAAGATACTGCATTTCCTTATCATCCTGGTTAATAAACTATTTAAATTATTTTGGAAAGTGACATCTTGACAGTGTTTGAAATACACCCAAAAAAAAGATCAGTTGAGGTATGCTTAATGCTGGGCAGTGTATTTTATTTTCTTCAAGAATGTTTAGTAAAGGATATTAAGCAAGTGCATACCAGTCTCAGCCGTTTAAAATTTTAACTTTTTGACACTTTGTCTCCATGATCAAGCATTCTGATTTTTGACATTTGTTTCTTTTTATTTTCTATACTTTCAGCTCATTTAGAGGCAAGTTTTGAGGAGGTAGAAAGCCACCTGTTGCATCTGGAAGATTTGTGTGGGCAATGTGAACTAGAAAGACACAAACAGATGCAGGGCCAGCACCTGGAAAATTATAAGAAAAATAAGAGGTGAGTTTGACAAATTGGCTACAATAATTCATTTTCAATCTCAGAGTTTTCCATGTTACTTTACATGCTATTCTTCATAAGTTTGAACTGATAAAAGACAAGGGTTTCGATATATAAAGCTCTTAAACTTTCCAAAACATTTTTTTTTATATACCATTATCTATTGCTAAGGAGCCCTGGTGGCACAAGGGTTAAGTGCTTGCTACTAACCAAAAGGTTGGTAGTTTGAACCCACCAGCTGCTCTGCAGGAGAAAGATGGTGGCAATCTGCTTCAGTAAAGATTTACAGCCTTGGAAATCTCATGGTAGTTCTCCATGAGATTGCTCCAGAGTTGCTATCAAGTATAATCAACTGCTGCAGTGGGTTTGGTTTTGGATATCTGGTGCTGTGTTACAGAGATGAGTTCTAGAAAGCTAAAGATAACGTAAAACAGATGAATCCCCAATATAAATGTGGAAGGGAGCAGAGCAAAGGGTCAAAGTGTTTGAAGAAAGTAGGAATCTCCATCTAATTTTCTCCGGAGAAATGACTGAGCTACTTTTCCCTTCTCTTTCCCTTCTCTTATTCTCTTTATTACTAGAGTGGGAGGAAAAGGAATCTGAGCCCAGGCTGTGTAAAGGGGCATTATGGGCTAAGTCTCAACTCTGTCACATAATGCCTATGGGACCTTGGACAAATAATTTCATCCTTTTTTAGCTTCCATGCCTCTGATTTATAATGGAGATAATAATATACTCATCTCATAGAGTATTGTGAGGATTAAATGAGACAGTCCTTATTAAATACAATATGTGCTCTGTAAGTAGTTGTTGTGATAATAATGATTATTATTAGGTTAACCTGAACAAGAAATGGAAGAGAGAAGTCTAAAGGTACAACCTGCTAAACTAGAGATGGCATCCCAATGTGTGCAGTGGCCATCTAGGATGGGGTTGGCAGGTGCAGGTTGGGTATCTCTGAAGTCTTTGGTGAGGTCCATGATAGCTGAGGGCTGGTGGAGTGCCTGAGGGACTGACTCATCAGGCTGGGCAGGGAAGGAACTGCAGCTGGAAAGGGTTTGATAGAGGTTTGATAGAGCTGTTGTTTTTAGATTGGAGTCTGGGTGATGTTGACGAGCATTTTTGGTGGGAGAAACAGGAAGATAGGATGGACCCAAGTATACTATTGGTTTCAAGATTATTAATATATTGAGTAGTTCTGGACCTAAGGTGTGGCACTCAGAAGATTAGGTTGCTTTCATGGTCTGGGGTGCTGGTCACTGGGGTACAAGAAGTTAAAAAAAAGTGAGGCTGATGTATGGGTGTGTGGATTACCAACCACACTGATGTTAAGGTTTCCTAGAGTGATGCCAAGAGAAGGGGTCCAGAGAGAAACTGAGTATTTTAAAGCAGAAATTCTCAACCAGGTCCATGTGTCCCTAGGGGTGGGTCTTAAATGTTAATAAACTCTAAGAATCACCAGGGGAGAGTGTTGAAAACACAGATGCTTAGGCTCTGTAATCAGAAGGTTTGATTTCAGTGATACGGCTTTAAATAAGCATTGCAGCTGATCCTGATAACAGATGGTTCAGTGATTCAGGGAACACATTTTGGGAGACTGGGACCAGGGACCAGGGATGGAGGCAGGCTCTCAGTGGAAAGACCTCAAAGGTACCATGGATAAAATTGTTTGCAAAAGTATGTATGTATGTGTGAATATTAGATATGTCTATGCAGGGGAGAGTGTGCCCAACACCATGTATAGGGTTGGCAGACAATGTTTTTTACAAGTGTATTTGTATGTTCTGTAAGAATTCCCAGGTGTATAGTAGAGCTGACAAGGAACAAGGTTATAGTCACTTCTTGGGCACAGCCAGCTACTCAGAGGGACTGAGTAGTTGAACTTATGTGCTCGGGACCATAGTCACAGGGAACATCAAGCTCAATTGGCATAACACACTACACAAAACATTGTTCCAACTCCTACTTTGGTGAGTTGCGACTGGGATCTAAAAAGCTTGTAAGCAGCCAACTAGATGCAGCAATGGGTCTCTCCTTGTCCAGAGCAAAGAAGAATGAAGAAAACCAAAGATTCATGGAAACAGTTAGTCTAAGGGACTGGTACACCATATGATTCTCAGCCTATATGGGTACGAGACCAGAAGAACTAGATGGTGCCCAGCTACCACTGCCAACCACTCGAAGGGGGGTCTATGTAGGAGATTCTGGATAGAGTGGGAGAACAACGTGGAACAAAACTCAAAATCATTTGGGGAAAAGAAAAAAAAAAGGACCAGGTTTGCTGGTCTGATAGAGCCTAATGGAACCACTGAGACTATGGCCCCTAGCTGCCCTTCAGGTCTGGAATTAAACCCACACCTATGGCTTCAAGCCAAACAAAAGATGATAGGCATAGGAGGTGAACATTTACATTAGGCAGATACATTCCTTGGAGAGAACAATCATGGGAGAATAGAAGGGCTGTGTATGCACTGGGACATAGCTAGGGAGCAGCAGGGCATGGAGGGAAGGACACAGGGAAGAGGTAACTATGAGGAAGAAGTGGGAGGGGAGCTGTTGCATTGGGGTAAATTGTAGTCAATGTAATGAGACAAAGTGTATGTCAACTGCTGTATAGAATGTGAATTTGCTCTGTAAACTTTTACCCAAATCAAAATTAAAAAAAAAAGTTTGTATGTATGTTGTTCTGGTTACCTAGTGCTGCTCTGACAGGAGTATACCACAAATGGGATGACCTTAATAAACAGGAGTTTGTTCTTTCAATTTGGAGCCTTTAAGTCCAAGTTCAAAGTGCCAGGCTCTATGGGCTGGGTGAAAGCCCCTCAGCCTTGGGCTTCAGCTCTGCCTTCAGCTCCCAGCCCACTGAAGCTAGAGGCATTTCTTCACTCAGACAGCTGCTGGCTGCTGAGGCTGAGAAGCCCAAGGTTGACAAAACGGCACAGTCCCAATGCTACCAAACCACGTGGCAGGCCATTAATTTAAGTCCATTGTAAATCCCAAGGTTGGCAGAGCATGGCAGGCTGCTGACATGGCTACATGCAGGGTCCAAGTGTGCCACAGGCTAGAGACCATTCCCAAAGCTGTTGCTTATATACGGCAAGCAGACCACATACCCAAAGGCTGCTACTCAGCTGCTTGTGGTAGATCCCACCATGGAGTTGATTGCCAGTGTCATCATGGGGAATAACTACCACTAGCTGCCCAGCTACTCAACCAGGCCCAGCCAAGTTGACACAAAAACATAACTACCACATATGTGAATTTGTCTGTAGGTGATTTCTGTACATTTTCTTTGCCTCACAAAAGTTAGAGGCAGGTATTTGACAGCATTTAGAATGGAGTTCTGTCAGAGGAAGGACTTTGAATGAATGGGTGAACATAATGACCTAAGGGATTTCCAGATTGATATGTGAGCATAGGAAATAATGAACTTTTCCTCAAGAAGATAGTAGCAGAGTTAGAGGTAGGTAAGGTGGTTTTCTGTTTTAAATGAAAAAATAAGGAAATAATCTGTTGTGAAGAAGTAAATCATGTCAGTAAGTTTATTTCAGTTGCATCAGGAGTTCCCAAGAATGTGGCAGGAAGCTTAGAATTTTGAAAGGAAATATTTGCAGGAGATTGAGCAGCTTGAGTATAGGTTGTGTGACCCTAAGCAAGTTACATGTTTTCCTCATGTATAAAATGGAAATAATAACAGTACCATATAGGGTTATTTTAAGGATTAAATTAGTAAAGTGCATATAGTAATTGTTGTGCCAATGTTAGCCAGCACTGGCTAACTTGTATTGTTGTTCAAATATAAATAAGCGAGTAGTATTCCATGTTTCTAATACTAGTTTGTTTTTTTTTTTAGTTAAGTGACATAATATATGAATATTGTGATTTTTCTACCAGTGTATGTTGAAGTTTTATTTAAAGTCACAGCATATGATACTTTAATATGTAAAATTAAATTTCAGGTTTTGATAAAATGATTAGATAGAAAAAGAACTAACAAGATTTGGAACTATGAAATTTTATTTCTCATGCTTTTCATCACCCTTACCCAGTGACTTTGATATATTTTAATTAATGCACTATCATTTGTATGTCATAAGTGAAAATTAATTTGGTGCTGGGAAGACAACATCACTTGTAATTTAAGTAAAGGCCTAAATGTACTGAATAAATCTTAGTGTTTCACTTCATGGAAATGACAGAGTATTTGTCTTTGTAGAGGTAGAATTGTATATTGGAAAGAGCACTGTTCATGGAGTCAAGTCCTGGCTTCATTGCTTACTAACTATGTGCTCTGGGGCAAGCCATGTACTTTTCTTTCTCTCCTGGTGTAAAGCTTTGCTTAGTGTAGAACCAACTTGACTGGCATTTGAAAAGACTTTAAAAACACACAAAACAAACTATCTTCTTAATAAACTTAAGATATGATAAACAGATTTGTTGGTGGTACCTGTTACTGTGAAATGTGTATAAAAAAGTGTGGCAGTTGAGGACTATAGATTATAATCAGTAGCCTGAAATTTATAGGTAAAATGGTAAATATTTCATATTCTGATAAATAAAATTTTTAAAAATTATGGAATTACTTTTTCTCAAGGACAGCAGGAGATTTATAAAATGTCATAACATTTTGTAAAATGTCCTTTTTTTAAACCTAGGATGAAATTCAAGAATGAGGAATTTAAATTAACTAATTCCTTGACTAACTTCCCAAGATTGAAGAAAAGTTATATATCTGTAGAAATTTATTTAAGAATTCTGTATAACATCTTCACAAAATAAATATTTATCAATAAATGCCAAAATATTTTGCATCTGATTGCCTAGTAAAATATTAGACTTGTGATTGAAATTGAGTGATACTGTTATCCAGAGGTAATTACTACTGAAATTTTTATTAACAGATATTTTATTAACAGATATCTTAGCTACCTAGAGCTGCCATAGCACAGATATCACAAGTGGCTATCTTTAAACAAGAATTTTCATCTAACAGTTTTGGA